TCCCTCGGTGCGCGGCGAGGCGGGCGGGGGGATGCGCGTTGGGAGCGGGTCAAAGCGAGGCTTTTGGCCACCAGGCGGGCGTCCGGTCTGGACAGCGGCTGAAGCCCGGCACATGGCAGACGGAGCACTGGGCCTGGGCAGGGTGGTCCCGGGAGGGTGGCTACACCCAGGCAGGGACAGCTAAGGGACCGGAGCTGAAGCCCACAGCCAGTGGAGTTGTTGCCCATGGGGCACTGGAGGATGGGCTGCAGTGCGTGTCCACGGGCGGGACAGGGCCCCAGGGGACACTTGGAGGCCAATCCCTAGCTGGTGAGTGATGCAAACAACAGGTCCCCAAGGGACACCCAGGGGCCAGGGACAGAAGTGTCAGAGGGAATTGGGTGAGACACCAGTGTGGCCTGTCTCGCTGGGCAGCTGGGGGATGTGCCAGGAAGGGGAGTGGGAGGGAGCCAGGAGCCCTGGGGCCCCCACCCAACATGAGGGCCAGTGAGCGCGAAGGGCGGTGAGACCCCGCTGGCACTCAGCAGGCGCCGGACTCCCAAAACCGGCTGGGAGTCCGGCTGGGGCTCAAGGAGACGCACAGGGCCGCCAGTCGCTGGTGGGGCCCACTCGGTGCCTCCTGCTGCGGTGCAGGCTAGGAGTCCCGGCGAGAACCAGTCGGCCAGAGCTGGGCAGCAGGAAGGGGCAAGGACCCGGACGTCAGGAAGACACGTGGCACGCCCCTCACTGTTGTCAACGCATTTAATCCTCACAACACCCCTGTGAGGTAGGTACCACGGCCCCACCTTACAGAGGGGGCACCGCCAGGGCAGTGGCGCCAAGAAGGGGTCTGCTGTGCCCCCCAAGGGACCACCCTTGGCCCACCACGGGGTCAGAATTCTCAGGTGCATGACAGCCGCCCAGGATGTCAGCGCACGCGCCAGGGGAGCGCCCAGGAGCTCCCACATGGCCGGCAGTGCCGGTTTGGAGTATGGGGGCTCCTGGCTTCCAGGAGGGAGCGAGCTGACCGCAGGGGCCAGTGCCGACCCACCGGGGAGGGCCAGGTGGGATGCTGGGACGCGGCCCCGAGCCTGACGGGTCTTTCACACCCCGGGGCCAGGGCCGGAGTCCGGCGGACAGGCCTGGGCCGGCCGGCGCCTCCCCAGCACAGGGTCGGCGCGGTGCAGTAACGCTGAAACCTCGCGGTGTTTTTATTTAGTATTTTCTATGCAAAACGTTCCCTTTTGTTTCTGCTTTAGAAAAACGAAGGCTGGAAATGAAGACAGGAAAAGAGATGGCCCAGAAAATCAGTGCAAAGAGAGGTCCACACAGACAGTCGGGACAGACAGAACAGTGGGGTGCAGTGCTGGGCCGGCCGGCGGCGGGGAGCAGAGATAACGCTGGGGGCAGCAGGGTGGCTGGAGGCCAGACTCCCGGAGGACCCGGCCTCCCGCCCCGACCAGTCGTCCTGACCACTCACACGACACCCAGACGGAAACCGGTGCCCGGGCGGCGGCGTGCAGGTCCCGGGGGCGCGGCAACGGCTCAGAGCCCCAGGAAGCTGGGGGGCACCTCCGGCTCCGCACCGCGGGGGGCCAGGCTCTTCCTCTTCACGCGGCGCCTGCCGCCCGGGGAGCCGGGGGAGCGGCACTGCAGACACGACTTCCTGGCGTGGTGGTGGCAGGGCCGCGTGCGCGAGCCACGGCCCGGGGACGGCGCTGAGGTAGGTGGCAGGGGGCTCCCCGAGCCGCTGACGGAGGAGTACCCTGAGGTGGTGAGGTCCCTGGCCGGCTCCTCTGTGCAGCGGGGGGGCGGCTGGGGCTCCGGGGAGGGGGGCGTCTGGGCGCCCACCCCGGAGGCGGGCGAGTCCGGGCCCCCCGTGTGCTGTGGGCAGGCCTCCTCGTCGCTCGAGTCCTGGCAGCAGTGCTGCTCGGGGTGCGGGTGGACGGCGGTGACGTCGAGCACGCCGCTGGGCGCCGTCACTGCGGGGGGCAGGGAGGTCAGGCGCGCACAGCCTCGACCTTCGGGGTCCCACGCCACCCCCCTCCAAGCTGCCCCGGGTGACGGCCTGGGCAGCCCGGGGGGCGCCTAGTGCAACCAGGGGCCGCCGCTCTGGGGTGCGCGGGCAGAGCCCCAATAGCACAGTTCACAGGACGCCCCAGAGCGCTGCATCCCGGGACGGGGTGCACCCCGCCAGGAACCCCCCAGGGTGGGCCGCGCTCACCCTCGCCCTCCTTCTCGCCCTCGCTCTCCTGGTCGCCCTCGTAGCCCGAGCAGTAGTCCAGGCTCCAGTCCAGGAAGCTGCCCAGCAGCGTCTCCTCCTGGCTGGACAGCTCGGCGGTGGGCGTGGCGACAAAGCTGCCCCGGTCCTCGTGGGGGCCGTTCTCCCGCTTCCTGCAGTGGGGGTGGGCACTGCTGACGGGGCAGCAGAGGGCGGCCGTCCTCCCAGTGCCCGGAAGGTCAGGCCCGCAGGCCCCACGGTGGGGGCAAGGGGCCCTCCAGGTGGGCCGGTGCAGTGGGCGCCTGGGAGTGGGCCCCGGCCGGCCGGCCGGGCACTAACCGCTTGGATCTGCGTCCGGACGGGGAGCTGAGGAAGGGCTGCATCTCGCCGGCGCTGAGGAAGGGCACAGGCTCGGGGCTCTCGTGCTTCACGCCCAGCGCGGCACACAGCTGGCCGAAGCTCAGCACCTGAGAGGAGGCCGGGTCAGGGGCTGCCTGGGCACCCGCCCGCCCATGCCCCGGGCGCGGGGCGGACGCACCTCCTCCTGGCTGATCTCCCCATAGCGCAGGTCCTCGAACCGCTGCTTCACGGCGGTCAGGGAGACCTGCCTGTAGTCCTTGGGGGCGTCATCATGGAAGCTAGGGGGGGAGGACCGTGAGGGTGCGGCGGGGGAAGCCTGCGGTGCCCTGGCCCCGAGCCTCTGCGCCCCAACACGGCCAGACAGCACACCCGCCCATCGCGAGGTGACCAGCCACCCCGCCCTCTGCGGCACACGCCACGGCCGAGCACGGACAGGCCTGGCGCAGAGGATACGGGGTGGCAGGCGTCTGGCCTCCCGTGGGGGGTGAGGGAGCTCCTACCTTCGAGGGCGGTTTAGGGGTGGGGCTGTGCGTGCAGCCTGTGAGCTGCGTGCCGGAAAACGGGGGCCCCAGCAGCCGTGGGAGCCCGTCCCAGGTGCCCACTCTGCACCCCTAGTAGGACCAGCGACTCCGACTGGCCCTGGAGCCCCCTGCCAGGAGGCCTGCCCTGGACACGCCGCAGGGTCAGCCCAAGCTGGGGTCCACTCTGGAAGAGGCCAAGTGAGGGGACCGGGCCACGGGGCCAGAGGACGGCTTGCCCTCTCCAGAGGGGAGGCCACCAGTCGGTGGCCGGCCCGGGGGCCCCGCCCGGTGCTGGGGGCTCACCACTTCTGGTGCAGGCTCAGGACGCAGGGGGTGAGGTCGTCGCAGGAGAACCCAGTGAGGTCCCACAGGCGCGTGGGCCAGGGCTGAGCTGCGGGGCAGGAACGGCAGGGGTGCTAGTGCTCCTGAGCCGCGCGCCCACCCTGTGGAGGCGGCTCCCGGTCTGGGG